AAAATCCCCCTTTTTGGTTGGTTGTTGGCGATGAGGGATTCGAACCCTTGTCACCATGGTTCGTAGCCACGTGTTCTAATCCTCTGAGCTACATTAGAGGAACAAGTTGGGTGTCATTTGATCGATTGTTTTTTGTGTTTTGTACAGGCTGATGTTGAAGTTATCTTTAACTTTTCGAGTTTGGATAAAGCGGAGGCATTTGATCCAAGCTGGGTGGACGCACAAGCCGTGTGCAGTCAGCTAGGATCAACGGCCCAAGGTGGTGTTGGACCCTTTGGTCTTCTCACTCTGGCTTCAGAAAATCTCGAGGAGTTCACTCCTGTGTTCTTCCGGATCTTCAAGGCTGAGACCAACAAACACGTAGTTCTTATGTGCTCTGATGCAAGAAGGTAGCATCAATTCCCTTATCACTTTATAATTATTTTTTCCATGTTTACTAAGCTCTTGTTTCTCTTTTGTTGTAGCTCTTCTTTGAAGGATGGACTATACAAGCCGACATTTGCAGGCTTTGTCGACATTGATTTGTCGAGTAAAAAGCTCCCGTTACGAAGCTTGGTATGTTAACGTCATAGTCCAACGCGTTCTCGCACCATATCCACAAATCTAAACTGTGTATTATTGTGCAGATTGATCACTCAGTGATAGAGAGCTTTGGAGGAGGAGGGAAAACTTGCATAACTTCGAGGGTATACCCAACAAAGGCCGTGTTTGAGGATGCTCATTTGCATGTGTTCAACAATGGAACAGAGCCTATCACGGTGGAGTATCTAGGCGCTTGGAGTATGAGAAGTGCTTGTGTGAACTAACTCTTTTAAGTTAGAACAACTTTCTAAGAGCTTAGAACGTTAGAACTAACTCTTATTTTTTATTTAATTTTAATTAAGGTTGTAACGGCAGATTAGCCTCCTCTCTTTTGATTTCATGTTTTTTAATAAAGAGTTAGATCTTTATTCCTCTTCGTTGATCTTTATTAGTTATTTTCTTTTAACTTACCATAACATAACCAAAACCATATTGATAGAATGTTTTTGAAGGATAGAAATGTTTAATTTAAAATCCTATCAATTCAATATTGTAGCTTAATTCTAACAAATATGATTCAGGTTTCATCCTCATCATTTTCAAATTGAGTTGTAAATTATAATTGAAGGTTTGAAAATAGACATTAAAAAAAAATAAAAATTTGAATAAACAATGGGATGTTTATGGGATAAAGATCTTATATTTTATTCACGAAATGGGTTGGTTGGATTAATATTAATTTGGATACAAGCAAAATAATTCTATTTGACCTAATAAGTCCTGTATGTCATAATTGACTATTTACTTTGTCTACTATTTAGGTAGAGTACCATCACTCACTGTTATTAAGAAACTAAAATGAGTCACTCATTCTCCGGTCACTCATTCTTACTAAAAAATTGAATTACTGAGCAATTGACGATAGAAGGGGACTAAACATGAACTAAGAAACTGAAGATAGATGGGGACTAAACATGAACTAAGACAGGAACCAACGGACTAAACAGGAACTAAGAAACTGAAAGAAAGAGACTAAATAGGAACCAGAGGGATCCACGCTACCAATACTTCTCCTTCCCAAAACAATTTAAAAGGACACGCTACCACTTTGTTTATAGTTCGAGAGGTTGGATTTCGACTCCATCCACATTTATATGTGGCATATTTATTTTTTCGAAAAAAAATTACATTTATAAAATATGAGCTAAAATGGATAAAATAGACCTTTTTTTAATATTTAAAAAATATATAAATTAAAGAATAGTTATTTATCAATAATCCTAAATTTCATCATTAAACTTAGCATTTAATTTGAAAAATCCTTTCAAATAGACGGAACCATAACTGAATTGCTTCCAACACAAACTTATTATTAATTATTTTCATTTGTACCTAAATAAAAAACATAATTCATTTAAATTAAATATAAAAAAAGTCAAATAAATTTGAATTTCACATATTTGTGGTAAAAAAAATAAATAAAAATACAAATCTGAATTAAAAAACTATTTATAGTAAATAGTTTTAGATAGATTACGTTAACCAATTTATCCTATTTTTTAGGATAAATTTAAACAAATATCCTTCTCTATATTTCTCCCTCTATAAAAAGCCATCAAACTCTCCTTCTGCTTCACTTCAAACTCCACTGCCAGAGCCGCCGCCTCCTCCTCTGCTCTATCCAAATTCCACAATGAATTTCTTCACTCTCCTCTCTCTTCTTCTCGGATTATTCTTTTGTTCTCTGTTCGTCGACAATGGCCTCGTCACCGTCCAAGCTCTCCATAAAGTCTACCCTGAATTACAGTCTCTCGAAAACAACGGTACCAAGATCAAGCAGCTCTATCGAACCGGTTTCCACTTTCAACCTCGCCGTTACTGGATGAGCTGTTCGTAATTTCTACATTTTTATTCCCTCCTTTCCATAAGTTGTTACCATTTTACCCGACCCCAACAGATCAAAAGTCCTGTCTGTCTGCATCATATCTAATCTGTTTTTATTTATTTGGTATTATTATTATTATAAAAAATGACATTTTTGTAAGGATACATGTGCACACCTTGTTTTTTATTTTTTATAATGCAGACCCGAATGGCCCAATGTATTTCAAGGGAATCTACCATCTCTTCTATCAATACAACCCCGAAGGCGCTCTATGGAGGGACATAGAATGGGCTCACTCAGTTTCCAGAGATCTTATCAATTGGAAGTCACTCAAATCCGCGATTTTCCCTTCAGAGCCCTTTGATATCAATGGCTGCTGGTCCGGCTCCGCCACCGTCCTCCCCGCCTTCAAGCCCGTCATTTTATACACTGGAATTGACTCCCAGAATCGCCAGGTACAAAACTACGCCATTCCAGCAAACCTTGCTGACCCGCTTCTAACCGAGTGGGTCAAACCGGATAATAACCCGATTGTTGAACCGGGTACGGAGGTCAATGCCAGCGCCTTTCGGGACCCGTCGACGGCGTGGTTGAGCTTCAATGGTCAGTGGAAGACCATCATTGGCAGCAGGAGCGAGCAGACGGGAATGGCGTATTTGTATAAAAGTAGGGATTTTTTGAATTGGACTAAGGCGGAGCAGCCTTTACATTCTGTTCCAAATACGGGAATGTGGGAGTGCCCTGATTTCTACCCAGTCGCCCGCTTTGGGAGATTTGGATTGGACGCGTCGGTGACTGGGAATTGGGTTAAACATGTGTTGAAGGTGAGCTTGGATATGACTAGATATGAGTATTATACGGTGGGGAAGTATTATCCGATGACGGACAAGTATGTTCCGGACAATACCTCGGCGGATGGGTGGAATGGGCTGAGATATGACTATGGCAATTTCTATGCTTCCAAGTCGTTCTACGATCCGATGAGGAAGAGGAGGGTTTTGTGGGGTTGGGTTAATGAATCTGATAGTGTGCAGGATGATGTTTCTAAGGGATGGGCGGGAATTCAGGTTTGTTTTTTTATTTTTTTTTATTTTTATTGAATTTGCTATGTTTTGTTTTGTTCTGTTTTGTATTTGGGCCGACCCTTTCTTTCCTCCTTTTGCAGGCGATTCCTAGGACTGTGTGGTTGGATCTCAATGGGAAGCAGCTCTTACAATGGCCGGTTATGGAGCTCAATAGGTTGAGATGGAAGAGGGTTATGATGATACATCAGAAACTGGTTAAGGGACAGAATGTTGAGATCAAAGGAATTACTGCCGCTCAGGTCAGTATGTTAGTATGTTAGTTTATAACGGACCCTTCTATTCCGACAAAGACCCACACCCAACTTTCATTACTTTGGGTGTGCTATCCCGATTATAATTTTCCTACCTTCGAGTGAAAAGTCCCCTTTTTGGTCGGTTGTGGACGATGAGGAATTCGAACCCTTGACAACGTGGTTTGTAGCCATGTGTTCTCATCCTTTGAGCTACAGGCCACACCCGGTCTTCGTTGGATCTGTTTCTAAGGGTATCTAAACAGTGGAATCTTTCCTCTCTCTTGTGCAGGCGGATGTTGAAGTGATCTTTAGCTTTTCTAGTTTGGATAAAGCGGAGGCATTTGATCCAAGTTGGGTGGATGCACAAGCCGTGTGCAATCAGCTGGGATCGACGGCCCAAGGTGGCGTCGGACCCTTTGGGCTTCTGACTCTGGCTTCAGAAAACCTCGAGGAGTTCACTCCAGTGTTCTTCAGGATCTTCAAGGCCGAGACCAATCATGTAGTTCTTATGTGCTCTGATGCAAGAAGGTAGCTTCAATCCCCTTATCAAATGGACCTTATAATGTTCTTTTTACAAAGCTCTTTCTTTTGGTGTAGCTCTTCTTTGAAGGATGGACTATACAAGCCGACATTTGCAGGCTTCGTCGACATTGATTTGTCTAGTAAAAAGCTCCCGTTACGAAGCTTGGTATGTTAACGTCATAGTCCAATGCATTCTTGCACTGTATCTGCAAATCTAAACTATGTATTATTGTGCAGATTGATCACTCAGTGATAGAGAGCTTTGGAGGAGGAGGAAAAACTTGCATAACTTCGAGAGTATACCCAACGAAGGCAGTGTTTGAAGATGCTCATTTGCACGTGTTCAACAATGGAACAGAGCCTATCACTGTGGATTATCTAGGCGCTTGGAGTATGAGAAGTGCTTGTGTGAACTAAACGCTTTAGTTCTTAGAATGTTAGAACTAACTCTTATTTTTTGGTTTAATTAAGTTTGTAATGGCAGATTAGCCTCCTCCTTTTGTCTAGATCTCTATGAATAAAGAGTTAGGTTTTCAAGACTTATCCCTCTTTGCTGATATAAATGTTTAATTTAAAATTCTATTAATCTTTTTTCCTTATAATTTTCAATTTTCATTCGGATATATAAAATTTTAATATAACTAAATAAAAATTATTTTATAATATATATAGAGAGAGAGAGGGGTATGGGGGTAAATTCATAATTTGAACAGATTTAGAGGATAGGGCCAATCAAAATTATTTTTCCTCCGCCCCCATTTTGAAAGCCCGGACTATAAAACGAAACTATCATCTACCAGGTGTAGCGCTAGTGGATCTAGGGTTGAAGCCAAGTCTCTGAAGCTCAAACTTTGCTGAGTTCCGTCCTTTACACGCACCATGGTATTACATCATATTCTTTTTCCATTTTAATTCATGTTTTCAATCCCTTAAAATTTTAGCTTCAATCTCCTGCGGATTATAATTGTCGAAGAAAATGTAGAGAATCCTATGACAAATCTATGACAATCTCCTGCGGTCTCCTTTTATATCAGAAGCTTAGTGAAGGAGAGCGGAAATGTTTGTATGCCCGATGTTTAATTTTCGTTAAATAAATCCGGCGTTGATTATTGGCTGCATTTTAATCGACGTTCCTTCAAGTTTTCGGTCTAAACCTAAATTATGAGGTAAGCGAATTGATTACTCCCTTTGTGATGTGTATTATGTAGTCGAGAAGGAAGACTAGAGAGCCTAAGGAGGAAACTGTCACCCTTGGCCCTGCTGTTCGTGAAGGAGAGCATGTCTTTGGTGTCGCTCACATTTTTGCTTCGTTTAATGACACTTTTATTGTGAGTGATCTTCATTTTATTGTGAGTGATCTTCATTAGATTCTTCATTTTTGCTTCGTGTAATTCTGAGTGTTCCATGCTTGAAATGCAGCATGTGACCGATCTATCTGGTAGGGAAACACTTGTCCGCATCACTGGTACGAAATGTCTTCCAATCACTGTTAAAATTGATTCTGGCATTACTTTTGGCCTGCTTTTTTTAGTGATTCCACTGGTTTATAAATTATACTTTCATGGTCATGTACTTGGTTTTTGGTTGATAATTTCCATGTGTTTTACGTTCGACCACCTTTGTGATTTGGTATTCTCTGACTTCTGAATTGTTTGACTGGATGGTATATCTTTTCTTTGTCCAGGTGGTATGAAGGTGAAAGCTGATAGAGATGAATCATCGCCTTATGCTGCCATGCTTGCTGCACAAGACGTTTCTCAGAGATGCAAGGTTTGCTCACTAATCAGATTTATGTTTCTTTTCATCCCAATGTTCTTAATCTAAATGTGGTAAACTGCTTTTCATCCCAATGTGCATTTGTATTCATTTGCATTATAGTGCTTTTACTTCCATGGCATCATCTCTCTAAACCCCGGTAATATGTAACAGGAACTTGGCATTACGGCTTTACATATAAAGCTTCGGGCTACTGGTGGAAATAAAACCAAAACTCCTGGACCTGGCGCTCAATCAGCTCTTAGAGCCCTTGCTCGTTCAGGCATGAGAATTGGTCGTATAGGTACATATCCTTACTTCCAATATTATTATCAAGAATTGCTAGATCATTTTCAGTAAGAAACCAAAGCCTCCCCATTTGGCATATCATCCTTAACGTGAAGTGCACTTGCTATTGTGTATAAATGTTCTGTTTTGAAGTTCAAGCTACCTTGTGATAGTCAACACTTGGGGCATTCCAAGTGTTCATTAAAAATCATTTTTTACGAAAAGCATCTAGCTTCCAATTCGGATATTTTAAAACACGTGAGAAAATTTCATACAATATCTCCTCAAACGGTTTCTTTAGCAAACTATTTTTTTTATGTTTCAAAGTTGTCGTATTTTTATAATACCAGCTTTCCTTGCAATCTTCAAAACTGCTTGATTTACCCAATTTTTGGTGTCTAATCAGAGGATGTGACTCCAATCCCGACCGACAGTACTCGAAGAAAGGGTGGCAGGAGAGGAAGAAGATTGTGATTCATAGCCATCTTCAAAATTTTCGCGGCTCACTGTTGAGATCCATAGTTTTAGATAAGGTAGAATGTTCTCATCTGTTAATTCGACAGTCTGACGTTCTGGTTTCTGCTTTTTTAATCAAGATTTTCCCCGTTTTGATTTGAATTATTGAAGTCAGAATTAAACCTTTTTTTGCTGCACTTTATAACTATTAATTAGTGTCCACGTGTGGGATTCATTGCATATGCCAACAAATCTAAGTTAATTTTAATTATTGCCATTCTAGGTTCTTCACTTTGATCCTTTCCAAATTGATTTTTCATCAAACATATTATCATAACAATTATATGATTCTAGTCAATTGCATGATGAAATGTCAAATGTTCTAATGGAACCCACATTCAAGTTGGAAATGCAATTAAATCATGGGCCAAATTGTTTCTTATAATTGGGATGATCACACCCTTTCTTCCTCAATGCATGGCCCTCGTTTATTTGCATAATAAGGTTGGATTGGATCTAACAGCCTCGATATTGTTGGTGGTGTCGCGGCTCTCAGCTTCGAGTCTGAGATCTTCGACATTAGGGTTTTTTAAGGTTTCATATCCCCAACCGACCCGAGTAATTTGGTTTTTTCAGAGTTTTTTTTTTTCCTTTTTTTATTTATTTCACGGTGAAATGAGTTTTTACACACGAGCCTATTATACATGACTCTAGAAATCTCAAATTAATAATTATATGTATTAAAAACTTTAAATTTTTTAAAAATAATCAATTTAGTTCAAGTGATAATTTTATTGAAAAAAAACTTAAATTAAAAACCATTGTATAAAGGCAAACAAACCATCAACAAGCTACACTGGAATTGGGAGTTCAATTTGGAGGACTAAATTCAAAGTTAACAATAACAGTTTTCAATCATTATCACAAATAATGAAGTGATGAATTTAGAGGCGTTTGTTTGAGCGAGAAATTGGATATCAATCATCAAATTAACAAAAGGCAGCAAAAAGTGTGCTATACTCCTTGTCTTCGAAGATCCATGAATCAAAATGGCAAAAATGTTGATAGAAGCAATAACCAGAACATCAATAATCGTCGCAATTTAGCAGATATCCAATTTCTTCAAAACTATGGTATTCAACTGCCATCACATCCACCATAAGAGAAGGAAAATTTGGAAGGGGTCTAGGAATTACAACCTTCTTCCTCTCCTGCCTCCCTTTCTTCGAGTGCTGTCCGTCGGGATTGGAGTTACATCCTCTGGAAACACAAAATAAACTGTGTAAAAATAACAATCTCACACGCATGCTAGTTGGTTCAAAAGATCATGAACTTCAAAAATCAATACAAAGATCTATGGAACACTACTACTCTATGCGACATTCATACACCACTACTCTATGCATGATCACAAGGAATAATAAGAGCTAGAACCGTGTTTATCCTGTGCATTAAGCCTCTAACATGGAATATCGTATAGATCTTAATTCCCAATACTCGACTAGCAATCAGTGAAATGATCATTGGAGAAGTCTGGCCTATAAACCCCATTGGCTTTTGAGGAGTACTCATCTATATTTCATTTTTAGGTGCATATGAAATGCTTCAGTTTCATACAAGAAAAACTAACAAACATTAGTGAAGTGAGTATGAATCTTATGTGTACCTATACGGCCAATTCGCATGCCTGAACGAGCAAGGGCCCTTAGAGCCGATTGAGCACCAGGACCAGGAGTTTTGGTTTTGTTACCACCGGTAGCCCGAAGCTTTATGTGCAAAGCAGTAATGCCAAGTTCCTGTAAGAAATGCTCAACTGTCAGGGTGATCATCCAATATGTTGTTTCACAGAAGAAAAAACACAATAATACAAAGCCAGTTATCTCAAAAGCAAGCCAATCCATACAAATGCATTACTGTTAGCATTTATAGAGCAGTTTTCATCATTTAGACTGAGAACATTCGGATCAAAAGAAACATAAAACCAACTAGTGTCCAAACCTTGCATCTTTGAGAAACGTCCTGTGCAGCAAGCATGGCAGCATAAGGAGATGATTCATCTCTATCAGCTTTCACCTTCATACCACCTGAACAAAGAAAAGATATAACTATAAGTACAACAACTCAGAAGATGGAGAAGAGTGAATCACGAAGACAGTTCAATGTGATATTCAGGGACAATGATCAATCAAAAACCGTGCACATGACCATGAGGAAGAAACCATTGAAATAAGTCAAAACGCAGCCTGAAAGCAATGCCAGAATCAATTTTTAAGATTGAGTGGAGCAGATTTCGTACCAGTGATGCGGACAAGTGTTTCCCTACCAGATAGATCGGTCACATGCTGCATTTCAAGCATGGAACACTCAGAATTACACAAAAAATCAACTAAGGACTTAGATGAAGAATCTAATGAAGATCACTCACAATAAAAGTGTCATTAAACGAAGCAAAAATGTGAGCGACACCAAAGACATGCTCTCCTTCACGAACAGCAGGGCCAAGGGTGACAGTTTCCTCCTTAGGCTCTCTAGTCTTCCTTCTCGACTACAGAATACACATCACAAAGGGGGTAAGCCATTAGCTTACCTTCAATGCACACAGCTACTTCAAAATACGTGCTTATGACGCAAATTCGGAGGAACCCAATAGCAATGCATCGAAAATGAATAGCACGCGAAAATTAACCAGAGGTGGAAATTTTCCCTCTTCATTCCCGGGATGATACAAACAGATACCATATTTCAAATAAATTCCGAGAAATTGTCTAGTTACAAAGTTTTTCATAAGACTTCCCCTACATTTACTTTGAATCAAGTAATTATAATCTGCCGGTGACTGAAACTGTCTTTTCAGTGATTGAATACGTGAGTCGTAATACGAAAGAATAAAAAGAATGATGAAATACCATGGTGACGAGTAATGAACTGGAATCTGGAGGGGAAGATTAGGGTTTTCGAGAATTTGTCTGAACCTTCGACCTTCGACCTTCGACCTTCGACCTTCGACCTTCGACGTGATACAGCTCTAGAGAAGATGATGTTTAATTATATAGCTAGGGTTTTCAGAATGAGTGAGTAAAATAACATGGCCGTCCTCTAAGTTTCCTCAAATTATGAATTTGCCCCAAAACTAGATTGAGACAAAAAAATAAAAAACATTGACAGCTGTGGGATTTGAACCCACGCCCTTTCGGACCAGAGCCTAAATCTGGCGCCTTAGACCACTCGGCCAAACTGTCTTGTTGTTTACAATTCGCTCTCTTTATTAATTATTTAAATGTTTATAACTTGAAAATTTCGAATTTAATTATTTATGGATCATTATTTATATTCATCCCAAAATATTAGTCCCTATGTTGAAGAACAAAACAGTTGTGTTCCTTTGATTACTATTTTTCCCTTTGGTGAATTATAGTGTTTGACATGCTGTCACAAAAGCATGTTTGAGAGACATTTTTAAATAATTAAATTCACTTGTACTATGTTGAAAATCACCGTGACAAGGTTTAATAATTCAAAATCAATTATAATAATAAGAAAATAAGGATAAATACAAAAAAAAAAAATTATGAATTTTATTAGACACAATATTCAATTTTAAATAATAAAGTAGTTAATTTTTTAAGAAATGAATACATTAACAAATGTAATTCATTTGACAAAAGAGGGTTTTTTTTTTTTTTTAACATCCTATTAAATAATTTTTAAAGCTCGGGATCTATCAAACACAAACATAAAAGAAGCTAAAATTTAAAAAATCAACCAACAGAGGGTATTCCCAGTTAGTTTCAATCCGTTGGATTTCGCACAATGTCAATCCCATTTCAAAAGATTTCTAATAATAAGAACTCCAAATAAAGCATTGTTCATTCACGATTTGAATACAGAAGTGTCAGGCATTATGATGGGTGGAAGACCCACAAACTCATACTTGGCATATAAAGAGAAGTCAGTCATATGCTAAGTAGTTATGAGTTTAGAATACCATTTGATGAGATTGGAAGGTCCTTTTCCCCTCTACTCTTTCTTCAACCAACTAACATGGAAATTCTTCCATTCCTTCCTTCCATCATGAAAAGAAAATACATTGTTTTCAGTTTTGATTGCTGCATACACAGTCGATTCGACGATACGAGAGTGTCAAAAGTTGTTAACTGATAAGCTTTAGTCTTTAACTGATGCCCGTAGGATTTTCACATCATGGATGGGTCTGTATCAGAAAAAATGACAATTGAATTAGCCTCAACGAAACCATTATTCCATCTGAAACTACATCTTATCTACTCTGATACTATAATAAAAGCATGGGGCTTCTTTTTTCCCAATCAAGCCTTTACTATCTTGATGCAAGAGAAATCTTGACAAGATGACGATGAGATGCCAAAGTATATGATATTAATTCAGTTACAAATACATGATGTTTAAATGAGACCAAATAGCCTCTTAGAAAGTATCATTTTGAAATTCACACATCATTTTTTTAAAGGTTTAGCGACAATATCGACTTGATAGAAAATAATACATGTATGAAGAATAAGATTGAAGATTTTAAAAGATTAAAGATGAAATTCAAAGACGATCTATCAACTCATCGACACAATGACATGACAGACAGATCAAAGATGGTACCAATATTCTAAAACCAACTGGCTACACTCAGTTTTAACATTTTGAGTTTGAAAATCAACCTTCTAATAAGTTTTTCGTCTGGCATTGATATTGTAGAATCTATTTTCTAGAAACAAGCAATTAATATCAGATGAATCCTGAGGAGTTGGCCCCTTAATTATTTTCGGATGCCTCAAGGGGGAAAAGCTTCTCCTACTGATTTTTAGATGCCTATAAATGAGATAATTTTGAGCAACCTGTTGGAACAATAAAATATATTAATGATCCCAGAGGGTGGAAAATTGATTTTGGAATAGTCCGTTCTCGCCGATATCCCTAGGGACTTAACTGTTATTTGATCTTATCACATAACTAGTCGGATGATAGTTTCTCATCCTACAGAGCAGGGAGGTTCTGAACCTCATAATCTCAAACATCGGAACCTAACTTATCTCTGAGTGGAGTTGGAGATTTCTTCATGAACTCAAGAGTTTTATTGAAGAAGATCCTCGTTCACAAGCTTGGAGCGCATCTGAATGGTTGGCTCCTCAAAGACATAGAAGTTGGTAGCGTGGAAATAACCCCCATGGGTTTTAGCTTCGATATGTAATCAGGTGGATTAGTCTAATTAAATATTAAATGAAAATAGATGATGTCTCAGACGGGTGAGAGGCTCAAGATCTAGGACTTGATAAAGATGACCATCAAGAAAGAATTGTTCAGTACAAAATAACAAAACTCTAGCTCAAATTTTAGTAGGTATAGAATTAAGAGCTTGAAGAGTGGTTTCCTCTTGCATATTTGCTTTGAATTGTATCATTGAATACCTTGTTTGATACAAAATGGACTTTGAACCCTCGGGTTCCTATACTCATAACTCTCTCGTTACTCATCTTCCCATTCTCTTCCAACTCAAAATTTCCTTCTGTTATTACTATTACATTAAGTAACCTGCTGAAACAAGATTCAAGGTGTCCATAATTCCCTAGTTGAAATCCTTGTATGTACACAACCACCCTAAATTGGCTTAGAGATGAAAAAGATCCATGTAAATATTAAAGGGCTTAGAAGGAGTAAGTTCAAGTCAGGATGGTCACCTACCTAGAATTTAATATCCAACAAGTTACTTTGGCAACTAAATGTAGTAGGTTAGGTGCTTGTCCCATGGCCAAAGGTGACCCCCGCTCACAGATATTTAAAAAAAAAAAAAAAAAAAAAAA